TTCTTCTGTCATTTTAGTATTCTGGACCTGGTTAGTGTTCATTGCTAGAGAGCTGGTGTTCCTCTTTGGGGGTGTGCTTTCCGTTTGATTTTTCATACTTCCAGAAATCTTTTGCTGGGTCCTTCCCACCTGGATCCGCTGTTACTTTTGTTTTGTTCTGCCACTAGAGGGAGCCGCTAGTATGTTGTCCACCGCTCTCTTGATGGGAGGGGTTACTTGGGGAGCTTGTTTTGGTCACTTGCTGGGCTTTCTCTGTTGGTAGCTGACCAGAGGCAGGAATGCAATGGTACCAGGTGACCTGAACTTGTCTGGCGAGGAAAGTCACTGGGCTGTCAGCTATTGGTCAGTGCCAAATCCCCAGGTACTGGCGCTTGTCGCAGAAGGGGCGTGGCTCTTTATGTCTCTCTGCTGCAAGCTCGGAGGCTGCGCAGAAGGCGCTGGCCAGGGGCACGGGGCGCTCCACCAGACTGCCCAACACCCCAGCGCTTTCAGCTTCCACAGGCGTCCTCCCCCCACAGGCAAGGAGGCACTCAAAATTCAGAGGAGGCACTCAGCATTCACCACTCTAAGAAATGGGCCCAGCCAAGTGACCCCAGGTCCCGGAAGGGCAGAGCTCGCTGTGAGAGTTCCCAGGCTAGGGGAAGGGAGCCGTTCCGCACTTGCGACCTGCCGTGGGCCCCGAGCTGGCGCTCGCCGGCCCCCAGTGTGCTGGCTCCAGAGGGAGGCGCTCTGGGGCTGCCAGGTACCTGATCAGGGAGTCAGTTGAGTCACCAGGGTGCTCTGCCATCTCCTTTGTGTCTCCCTCCCCCAATCTCACGCCAGTCCTGCAATAGCTCTCACTTCTACTGGCCCACCCTGAGAAGTCCCAGTTGCCAGCGGCAGTTTCCAGGTTAGAGTCCTCTACTCAGTAATCACCTCCCCATTCAGGACGCGCTGGGTGCCAGAGACCAGCTTCCTGAGTCGTAACTGCCTCCAGAGGTAGCCCAGACCAGCTCCTCCCCTATCCGGTGCAGTACTGACACGGAGCTCCGGGAAGTTCAAGATGCTTCCCGCTCGTGTCTCTTCGCCGCTGAGTCCCACATTTCCAGACCCAATTCTACATCCACTTCACACAAGCCCCTGCCTCTCGGTGGCCTTGTAAGTCAGTGGGGAAGCTAGACTGTCTCGTGAGGGGCTTGTCCTGGTGCACTTACTGGCCAGGCTGGCGCCGCCGTCTCACGCTCCACTCTCTATTGTCTGTCCGCGCTTTCCAGGTTTTGTATTCCTATCTCCCATTCGCTTTATTCTTTTTCCTGATTTGCGTGTCCCCCGCTGAATCTCCACCGATTCACCTCGCTGTTTTCGCAGCAGAGTGATCCGATCGTGTGTAGCAGACCCGGATCTACCTCTCCCTCTCTGGAAGCAGGGATTCGGGAGGCTACCCTAACTCCGCCATTTTTTCTCCTATCCTACAGGTTTTGATAGCTTGTTTCTCTGTTATCATTTAGTTTGAGGAAGTTCTTGATTTCCCTCTGTATTTCCTCCTTGACCCAGTAGTTAGTCAACAATAGGTTGTTTAATTTCCACAACTTTGTGAGGTGGTGAGCATTTCTGTTGGAATTGAACTCTAACTTTATACCACTATGGTCTGAGAAAGTACACGGTATAATTTCTATTTTTCTGAATTTGTTGAGGTCTGATTTGTGGCCTAGTATGTGATCAATTTTGGAGAAAGTTCCATGGGCTGGTGAGAAGAATGTAAATTCAGCTTTATTTGGGTGGAATATTCTGTAGAGATCTGTCAGACCCTTTTGTTCAAGAGCTCTGTTTAAGTCCATTATTTCTTTGCTTACTTTCTGTTTGGAAGATCTGTCCAGTTCCTTCAGTGGGGTGTTGAAGTCCCCTGTTACTATGGTGTTATTGTTTATCATGCTATTTAGATCAGACAAGGTTTGCTTTATGTACCTGGGTGCATAGATATTAAGGATTGTAAAATCTTGTTGGATGTTCCCTTTCACCAATATATAGTGGCCATCTTTGTCTTTTTTTACTTTTGCTATTTTAAAGCTTATGTTATCTGAGAATAGTATAGCTACCCCTGCTTTCTTTTGACTTCCATTTGCCTGGATGATAGTTTTCTATCCCTTGACTTTTAGTCTGAAGGCGTCTTTGTGGATTAGATACGTTTCCTGTAGACAGCAGATATGAGGCTTGTGGATTTTTATCCAGTCTGCCAGCCTGTGTCTCTTCAAAGGACAGTTCAGGCCATTTACATTTATTGAGAGGATTGAGAATT